CCGATTGATCTTTGTTGTTTCTAATTTATTCCATATATTATAAAAATATTAAGATTTTTTAATTTGAAATATTCTAATCCCGCGTTTTGACGCGAAACAAAAATTAGTTTTTCATATTTAAGAAAACAATAAATGTTCATAGCAAAAATGAAAGAAATAAAGTGTTGTGCATAAATGGGTATTCAATGTTAACAAGATAGAATATACATTTCATATCGAAGTAAATTAATAAACAGTAATGATGTGACGACCAAAAAATACAATTCATACCTTTTAAAATGTTATGTAATCTATATTCATAAATAATTGACAAAACAAATTCATGAATAGACAATTACCAAAAAAAATTAAATTAATGGCTAGTCAATGTTAAGAATATGGTATATAAATTTTATATCGAAATAAAGTAATTAACAATAATGATTCGACGACTGTAAAATACAATAGAAGCCTTTTCAAATGATGTGTTGTGTCTATATACAGACACAAATAGGATATTTTCTTGAGACATTTACTTGATTATCATCCTTATTTTTCAATGTTAATGTTAATATATTACTGATTATGTGATTTTTTATAGCAGCTAATTAGCATTGTCAGATGATTGAAGGATCCATCTACATCAATAGTTGAACCAAGCGTTGCGAGGCTTTAACGAAAAATTGGTCAAAGTATTACATGTAGGTGACCATCTACATAAGTGTAGTACTATGTACCATAGTTTTTGTTTTGATATCTCGTATTTTTAGTGTGATTACATGTACTAAAATAATTCGATTTACCATTCCAAGTTTATTCTCCTTTCTCTTGACAGGTTCTCCACACTTCTCTAGTGACTGGTCTCATTTGATGCTCTTATTTTACCGTTTCTACCTCCGACATTCGCTATTATTTCTTTCATCAAGAAAATGAGATCAGTTACAAGAGAAGCATTGGGAATCTATCAAAAAATTGATAAATCAAATCCATTAATAGCCATTGAACACAACCCTGACACTTTTTATGATGTTGCTTTAGTAGATAATATTTTTGTTTTGATATATAATTTTAGAAAAATTTCCACTTTTCAAGTGCCACTTTACAAAAATGTCACATTTTTGAAATCTTTACAAAAATACCACTTTTTCAAAATTATATTTTCTTTATATTATTTATGTTTGGACTAATTATGTTCTATTAGGGTTTAGTTTGAGTGTTTAGGGAGTTTTAGGTGTTAAAACATTTTTTAGGGTTTAAAAAATTTTAAGATATAGGTTTTATAAATCTATAATTACTGACATTTTTGTAAATGGCCCTAAGTGGCATTCTTGCAAATGTGCACACATAAAATGGTATTTTTATAATTGTCCATATATTTTATGCCGAAAATTAAATTAACACCATTTCAACTAAGTGATAGTATCTTGTTTATTATCTTTATGTGGATCTGAGATTTTTTCTAGATACATACTATTTTTTGCAATCGCAAATTTTGAAATTTCACATAGTAATTGAATTGTTTCGGGATAATACCTGGTTTTTGTTTGTTTGATCAAATATGTTAAGTGCTAAGTACTATGTTGACTAAAAAGTGTGAAAAGAATGAAATTTATAAATATGATGATGTAATATATATAGTCAATTCTACAAGTCATTACGAGAAAAAAATAATAATAATGTTATTTACTAAATTTTTAAATTTGACTAAGATATTCAAAACGAAAATGATATTTATTCTTCACAAATATGAAACTTAATTACATTCCTATGTTTAGCTTCAAAAATAAAATATATATGTGGCTAATATTTTATGATAAAATTTTAGTTAATATGATAAAATCTACAAAAATGTCCATGAACAAAATTTGAAGTATTGACTATTTTTCTTACTATAATAATTAGTTCCAAAAAATTCAATCTATAAACCCCAACTTCTCATCAAATACAAAATAAACATACAAAGATACTTTCTTAATATTTTATGCGTTATTATAGCCAATCTCCTTTCCACATCAGTTAGATATTGATGGAGAACTTATTCCATTAATCTATAAACTCGATTTTGAAATACGTCTAGGGGATTAGAATATTTGTAAAGAAAAATCATAAAAGATTAATATAGGAGAGATTAAAAATTGTAAATATCAAATGGTACATTTCTAAAATAGATTTTTTCTGGCTAAACTGTTTATTGATTTATATGAATATTACAAAGTCATCATACAAAAATTTTTAGAAAGCAAATTATTATATAAACAGATATATACGTCATATAGTAAGAAAAGTACTCTACTCTATCTACGAGTACTGACTTTAACGATGCTTTCTGTAGACAAGTGTTACTCGTTAACAAATTACTAAACCATTATTATCTTACAAATTTTAATTGGCATGACACTTGGTTTGAGATGTAATCATTTTTTATGTACATCAAATACGTTTGAGATTATGAGTTCTCTTAAACTTATTTGAGTTCATCAAAACAATGGTGTTAAAATGTAAAAAACTTTAAAAAACAAAAAAAAGAAATTCAAAGATACAAAAAAATGAAACGGATTATTTTTCAAAATTGAGACATTACTTTTTGTTATCTGTACGAACTTTTTGGATTTCACCAATATTAACAACTTGTACTTATGGTTGATAGTTTTATAAGCTCCAAACCTCCAATAGTTTTACTGATAGCAAGCTAAACAATGTTATTGCATCTTCATAAAATAAAATCTGATTTAACCTTTATATATTTCTATCAATAAACCTATAGTGTTTTCTGTAAACCTTGTAAAAGTCTTTTTTTGTAAAAATTGTAAGTTAAAAAAAAACTCAATTTAAGTTAGAGTAATATGTATATATCCAAGTGATGTTAAAGAAAATAGTTGTATGATTAATTATATTTTCAATTATGATATCCAAGTGCACATTAATACAATTTTTATAAAGTAATTGATATCAGTAAATGATTTATTGTTAAAAAATTATTTTATGTAATATTAATATTATGTTTTACCAGGATTTAAATTTGTAATACATGTATTTTGAGTTTATATTAAAAATTAATAAAATTATATAGAAATTTTCATTCTGACATATAAAATTAATTGAAATGTTTTGATTAGTTAATCTAATTGACATCTCTTAATTTTTTCTTTAATCAACACATGTAATTTTTTACATTTATGTCTTCTGAGTAAATATATATAGGATAAATGTGTGTCAAAGAGAAAAAAAATGACTTAAATATATCACTACCGTTAAAACGGCGTTACACAGAGAATCAATGGCAATATTTATGATGCAATAATGTGACCACTGATACACGTAAGGACGTAAAGC